GAAGATGAAATCGGGCTAATAGATCAGACACATATTTTTGTTAGGATAAAAACAGACCTTTAGAGAGACGAACAGCTTGGACACCCAGGAAAAAATGTAAATCCCTCAAATCCTTCATAGCAAAGTAACGACCCAGACATGAAATAAATGAAGAAATAAAGGAAGGGGAATTATCAGTAATAATAATATCATCCACATAGAGGAGAAGGTAGAGAACAGATGACCCATGCCGATAAATAAATAGAGAATTATCAGACATGCTGCATATAAAGCCATGAGTCAGAAGAAAATTACTAAACCTGTAAAACCAGGCCCGAGGGGCTTGTTTAAGACCATAAATTGCCTTTCGTAGACGACAAACATGATTAGGAAACTGAGGATGAATTAAACCAGGCGGCTGACACATATAAACTTCATCAGTCAAATTTCCATGAAGGAATGCATTTTTAACATCTAATTGACGCATGATATGGTCCAACCAAAGGAAACCGCTAGAGATAAAACAATACGAACAGTAGTAGGCTTGACAACAGGACTAAAAGTTTCTGAAAAATCAACCCCAGCCTGTTGAGTAAATCCCTGAGCTACTAAGCGCGCTTTATGCCGTTCAACAGACCCGTCAGAATTAAATTTAGTTTTATAAATCCATTTAGACCCAACCACATTTTTATGATAATTAAATAGAACTAAATCCCATGTGTGATTATCAATCAAAGCATTAAACTCCTCAGCCATAGTCGCTCTCCATTTAGCATCTTTATTAGCAACTGAAAAACAAGTAGGATCACATGCCATAATATCTGTTTTAAGATTAAAAATAGTTTTTGGTTTAAAAATACCAGATTTGGCACGAGTTTGCATTGGATGACCAGGCAACTTCGGGGGAGAAGGTGGCGAGTTGATCGGGCTGCTGGTTACTGGAGTTGGCTGGAGGTCGAGGGTGCTGTCAGGTTGTGGTGGTGAAGGTGGGCTGTCGGGCTGCATGTTGGAAGTAGGCAGAGGGCTAGCAGAACGGCTGAGAGAGGTAGGCCGAGGGGTACCAAGGCTGCATGGGCTGCATGGAGTGTGTTCAGGCCGCTGCTCTTCGGTTGGGATAATTGGGGGGTCGGCCGAAGGTGGTGGTTGATGGAAGCTTAGCCGGGAAGGTGATACCAACGGTATGTGAGCATGTGGTTGTTCCGGGGGTACTGAAGCAGTGTTTTCAGACTTGGAAGAAGTAAGCTCAGTATAAGGAAAATAATTTTCATGAAATCTAACATTCCTATTTATGTAAATTTTGCCGGTAAGAGGATCAAGACAACGGTAACCTTTATACTTAGGAGCATAGCCCAGAAAAACACACAGAACCGAGAGGGGAGAGAGTTTATTTGCAGACGTGGCATTAAAATTAGGAAAACAGGCACACCCAAAAATGCGCATAAAAGAAAAGTGGAGAATGATTAAATAATTTTTCAAAGGGAGAAAATCCATTTAAATTCGCAGTGGGCAGACGATTGATAATATAAGTAGCAGTAAAAACCGTATCAACCCAGAATTTAGCTGGCATTTTTGCTTCGAAGAGCATAGTGCGAGTTAATTCTAGAAGATGACGATGTTTTCTTTCAGCCACCCCATTCTGTTCAGGAGTGTTAGGACAAGATTTTCTAAATAAAATTCCATGCTGAAGAAAAAGATTACGCATACCATGATTATCAAACTCACCCCCTCCATCACTTTGAAAAATTTTAATTTTAGTATTGAAAAGATTTTCAGCCATTGTTTTAAAATTAGTAAAATGTTTCAGAACTTCAGTTTTATTGCGCACAGGATATAACCAAGTAAACCGTGAAAAATCATCAATAAATAAAACATAATATTTAAAGCCACTGTCAGACAAAACAGGAGACTGCCATACATCAGAATGAACTAAAAACAAAAGAGCAGTAGATTTATGCCAACTTCTTGAAAAGGTAACCGTTGAGATTTTCCTAACCGACAAGAAATACAATCATGGGAAAAATTAGAAGTACTAAAAATAGAACTAGACTTTTTAAGTTTATCTAAAATACGAGTACCACAGTGTCCCAACCGACGATGCCAGACAGGTCCCAGAACAACATGAGTAGCTAAGGCAACTGATGATGGATGAGGCAAGGAAATAGGATAAACGCCACCTTTATTAGAAGCTCTAAGAAGCACCTCCCCCGAATTGTGGGCCTTAATACAAACAGAGTTTTTATAAAAAATCACAAAACAGTTATTATCGGCACATAATCTTTGAATGGAAAGCAAATTATATTTAAAATGAGGAACATGAAAAACAGATTTTAAATGAAGAGGGCGCGGCGGATTCAACAACAGTCACAATAGGTAAATGAGATCTATTAGCAACCGTCACAGTTAGCGGTCCAGAATAAATAGATTTATTTTCTAAAATACCTTCAGTAGAGGTCATATGAGCGGAAGCGCCAGAGTCAGGATACCAAACAGTGGAGGACGATTCACCAGTAGGCACAGCTAATGCAGGTGTAGACGGTTGAATAAAACGGGATGAACAATGGACAGCAGAATGACCTGGAGAGTGACAAATTTGACAGATGATGGGAGGTGGAACTACCAAAATTATTCTCAAAGGGTGAAGATCCTGCAGAAGCATAGTTAGTACAAAAAATAGATGGTGCAGGAGTATAAAACAATGACCCAACTGAATTACAATTAACTGTACCGAGTGTACCCATCATCTGCGCAGGAGGTCCTCGGCCGTAAGGCTGCTGTCCAGGCCCATAGGGCAGTTGTTGTCCGTAATGAGGCTGCTGCTGGTAGTACTGGCCGCCCTGCCCTCAACCACGATTGCCTCGGCCACGTGGCCCTCTACCGCGACCACGCCCGCCCCGCTGTGCGGGCTGCTGGTTCAGAGCCTGCTGCGCCGGCGGCTGCTGCTGTCCCGGGCCAGCAGGTGGTTGGCCGTGAGCTGCAAAAGCCGGAGCACCGAGGGTGGAGTCGAGGCGCTGTTGATAATGGAGCCGGGCTTCTTGATGGACAAGCTTAGTGCATAGTTTGTCAAAAGTGAGGCCCTCCGGAAATAGAGTTAGAGGTCCCACTAATGACTCGTATCTCGGACCCAACCCCAAAAGTGCATATTGCAAGAGATCATGATCAGAAAGTGGAGAATTAATGGATGCTAGGGACTCAACAATTTTCCGTATTTCAAGCAAATATTGATCCGTGGAGTGATTTTCTTTCTTTTTCATGTGAGACAGCATTTGTTTTAATTCCATCATTCCATGGATCGTGCCAGACTGGCAGCCATAAAACGAGCCTCTAATCGTTCCCATATGGCAGCCGAATTCTTTAATTGATGCACCTCAAAAAGAATATCACGAGAGAGGGTAGCAAACAACCAAGAACAGACAGTCTAGTCTAAACGCAACCAGTGATAATACTCAGGATTCATGGTTTGGGTTTGATATAAATCATAGTTGTATAATGGTGGGGCAGGCAGGGATCCATCAAGTATACCCAAAAGATCATTGGAGACTAGGAAGGATTCAAACTGAGTACGCCAGGGTAAATAATCTTCAACAACAAGTAATTTAATGGTCACAATAGTGGTGATAGAGGAAGCACCAAAACCAATACCTTGACCAAGAGTTGCAAACGAGGTGGGAATCGGAGGTACCTCCCGACGTCCGACCGGCCCAGCGGTGGATGGCAGAAGCAGTCCCGGACTGCCTGAGAGGGTGGGGCCGGTGTAGCGATGTTCGGCGGTGCTGCTGGACTCCCCGACGGCAAACGATGATTGTTGCGGCATGGACTGCAAACTCGGAACCGTAGGCGTCCACGTGAACATAGGCGGAACCCATAAAGACGGCGGCGCAGAAATTGCTGTTGTAAACACCGAACTTGGCTGCTCGTTGGAGATGGAGAACGGCGCCAGAGTGGTGGAGGAAAAAGGATCAACCACCGGTGTAGAAACCGGCGAGGAAACCGCGCTCAGCACAGGCGTTTCCGTCACCGTCGTAGAGATGACGGCGGTGACAGAGGAGGAGGAGGAGGAGGCGGCAGTTCCTTCGGAAGGTCGAAAAAAAATGTATGTTAAAACCCTAGAGCTCTTGATACCATGTGAGAATAATGGAATGACTTACCAATGTGGTAGCCCTGGATGTCATATATATATAATAAAGGAGTATCCTGATTACAATAGGAAACTGATAAAATATGGAAAGCTAATTGATGCTAATTAATATTCTTAAATACACTATTAGTAATGACATACATTCATGGAACGTTTTGTGTGATCGTAAAAGGCATTTGTTAAGATACATATAATTCAGAGACCTACGTCAGCCAAGAAAATCAAATTGACTCACTAACCAGGAGACGTGCATCATTAAACCCATAATGACAAATGTTTTGTTACTGTCTAGAGACCCACCTTACCCCTAAAACTTACTATGTACTAATTATAACTCTCTTGACTGAAAAGAACGAAGGTAGTAAATAAATAGGTACTCCCTCCGTCCCTCTGTTCTAAAAATCGTTCTAGGCATCCGACCAGTGCCCGCCTAGGCGCTAGGTGGTGGCCGGGCGCCCCAATTTTCGTCTAGGCGCCCCGACTAATTGGTTTTCCGTCTAGGTGAATTACTCGGCCGCCTATGGCGTCTAATTGACCGCCTAGGTCGTCTAGACTCGCCGAACATTATTTACTTTTTAATTTTATTTTTTTAAGCAATATACGTAATTTAGCTTTAGCCATGGATATAAAGAATTGAAGTTGTAAATTAAGAGGGTGTTTGGAGCCCAAAAAATAGGCTTATAAGCCTCAAATTAAAAAAATATAGCCAAACACAATGCTTTTGGGTTGTTTGAGCTGAATTTTCTTATCAGCCAAAAAAGCAACATCAAAGTTACTTTTTCAGCTAAAAATTATATATGTGCTGTTAGAAATTAGAAGTACTCTTTTACCCTTGTTTTTTACGCCTACTCGTTTCCTTGTTGGTTCGTTGCTCACTTGCACCCAGAACGAGAGAAGCGCCTCCAGCAACTGCGCCATAGTTTGTGTTCCAGATCGATGACTTCATATTCATCGAAACGGCATTCCACAGTTTCGCCATAGGTTGCTCCACAATTTCGGCATTCCAGATCGGTTTTTCCATATGAATCAGATGTTAAGCTGCTTCCACTTATCTAGTTATCTTCATCTTCAATTTGTTAGTAGAGCCACGTTTCTTAAATATTTTTTCCCCCTAATATTTGCTAAATATTATCCTTTATACCCATATACGGAGTAGTAGTTTATTACTCCGTACTACGTAGTAAATTTACGTTTCAATTTGTTAGACTTACGTTTCAATTTGTTAGCAAAATTTACACCCATACATTAACACAAATAAGTTGATACCCTTTATAGTAAATTTACACTCAATCAGCCATTTCTGCCAACATATTACCAAACACTTTCACTTCAGCAAATTAAATCTTATCAGACTTTTCAGCCAATCCAGCCAATGCAGCTGTTACCAAACAGGCCCTAAGATAAAATTGCATATGTTTGTATATATACCTAAATTTTATCATTAATTATATTTATAACATAATGAAATTAAGTGATTAGTTATCAATTATCATATAGTATGTATGATTAAATGTGATACTTCTATCATTCATGCTCGTTTATGTATATGTATATACGTATTTTATACAGACAAAAATACAATATAACTTACTCCGTATCATATAGATTAAAATGAAATTTCTATGTCTCCGACTAGTCCCCGCCTAGGCGCCCGACTAGCGCCTAGCGCCTTTTAGAACATTGTCTATCCCTAATAACTTTGCCAAGTTTGACTCGCGCGAGGATTAATAAAGTAAAAACTGTGTGGTTGAGGTTTGTGCAGAGGAGAAAGAATTAACTAGAACCACAAATTTTTTACTTAAAGGGGAAAGTGGCAAAGTTAATGAGACATTAAAAATAGGAAAGTTGACAAAATTATAAGAGACGGAGGAAGTAATTTGATAAATTAGTCAGTGATGAGCAATAGGCCAATAATAAATGGAAAGTCAAACGGAACGGTAGGATGATATCAATGATGAATGTTGCATCTTTTTTTGACAATAAAAAAGTCTTGCAATTTTTTGAAAAACCACTATAGAAAAAGTCTCTTTTTTATTACTCTTTAGAACCCTATTAGTGGACACAAGATATACACAAACTGTGTACATTGTTTGTGTACACAGGCAATTTGGCATCAACTCCTGCCCCTGTTTTAACGAATTGCCTGTGTACACAGGCAACTAGAAGAGTTTTGAATACAACTTGTGTACAACTATTGTACACTAAGCATTTTCCTTGTCAGAATACTAGACTAGTTTATCCTAGGGCACCAATCATATTGATATGGGCCAATATCCCAAATATGTACTTTTAATGTGTTCGTCACCCTATAGGCCTTCACAACAACGAGGAAATGGAAAATCTAAGCATAGTTGAAGCTTATTTACGGATTCATTGGATACATTTTTACTTTTTGAAAAAGAATGTAAAAGTGAACACGCTTAGGACCTGGAAAACTGGAAAACAGAAAACAGGAAACATGTTTACCAAAGAAATTGCTGGAAAACTAGAGAAAGGAAAAAAGAAAAACGCGTTTACCAAATCGTTTTCCAAAACGAAAAAAATGAGACATGTCTCTCTTTTCCTTAATGATTTGGAGAAGTGACTTTTACTAGTTTTGCAAATTTGGAAAACGCAGATTCTACAGTGCCGCATCAATGAATTTGCATACTTACACCTAGTGGTGGGTCCGGTCCCGCTCCGATGTTTATTTCATTCCGGTACCTCCATCCTCGTACCTTACCCCTTACCCCTACCCTACCCCAAACCCCACCCCGCGTACCCATTTTTCCCTATAATGACCTTACCCCACCCCCTACCACATGCCCCTACCTCGGCCCCACCCCGATCCACCCTACCCTACTGCCACCCCCCTACCACCTCGACCCCACCCCGACCCACCCTACCCTACCCCACCCCTCGTATATTACAACTTACCCCTACCTTACCCCTTACCATATGCCCCCCTCCCTCGGCCCCACCCCACCGCCATCCTACTCCCACCCTCGTACCGCCATCCTACCCCCACCCTTCTGCCATCCTACCCCCACCACCATCCTACCCCCCACCCTACCCTACCTCGGCCCCACCCGGATCCCGGGCCCACCCTACTGATGGAGTATATGGCCCGGGAACCCCCGGCCCATAGACTCCTACTTCTCCTACACAAGTCCATTGAGCCCAGAGAACAACTCATGCCCAAGTGTAACGGCCCAAACCTCGAAATAGCTCAGAATACGCACTGGGATGCCTTCGGCCTCCTTCGCCGAAGGCTCCAGAACTCACAGGATAGCCTTTTCGGCATAAGAAGCTGTTGGGAGAAAACGGGCGAAAACGTGAGCCTTCGGCATTTTCATGCCCTCGGCATCAGAAAAGCCTTCGGCTGAACCGGGCCTTCGGTCACACGGGGCCTTCGGCCATACAAGAGTCCTCACCACACGGAGCCCTCGGCTGCACAAGGAGCCCTCGGCTACACCAGGAGCCTTTGGCTGAACTAGCTCAATCATCGAAGATTCCTTTTAGGGACAGCCAACCACCGCATTTAATACCACGTCACATCCGCCAACCGCATTCAATGCGGTGGACGTACCACTGCCGGTGCCAGCCGGCTGATGTGACCCTTCGGCCGTTGGATTACTGACACGTGTCCTCTCATCGCATTTATTGTTGCTATAAATAGCAGCCCTTATTCTCCTTGTAAACCACGCTGAGTTCATTTAATAAAATCGACTCTCTCTCCTCCCATTTGCTCTGACTTCTCTCTAAGTTATTCCCGCAATAACCCCTCGGATAATATACCCCCCGGGTAGACTATCCATCACCTACCAACATCCTATCCCAACTCCCTACAATTCCCCTACCTTACCCCAACCCTACCCACTACCCCCACCCTTACCGCCATCCTACCCCCATCGCCATCCTACATTCCTACCCCCCACCCTACCCCTTCCCTACCTCGGCCCACCCTGGTCCCGACCCCACCCTACCGCCATCTTATCCCAACTCTCTACCCTACCCTACCTTACCTCAACCCTACCCACTACCCCACCCTTACCCCTAACCACGACCTTAACCCACCCAACCCCCAACCCCTAGACCTTACCACCCCACCCCGACCATACCCCTTACCCCACCCCCACCCATAACATCCCTACCCCGACCCCTACGAGTAGGTATGGGTGGGTATGAAGGGTTGTGGGGGAGTATGGGTAGAGTGTAAGATCGTGGTAAGGGTAGGGGTAGGGGTCAAAAGTGTGGAATTGGAGAACTGTGTGAAAAAATTGATGAACATGTTTTCACATTTGAAAATGGAAAACTTAAAAATAGAAACATAAAATTTTAGATAGAAAAACTGAAAAATAAAAACAGAAATTGGAGAACGAAAAACAGAAGTAGAAAACAGGAAAATATCTCTGTTGGTAAACAGGCCCTTCGTATTCTTTTTTTTTTTTAAATTTAGGATTGACGGACCAGTTCTTTAATCTCCATTTTCAATTTTCAAATACGCTAATAAAAACTTTTAGCGAGTGCGTGTTTGATAGCCATCTTTACCCTATAGAAGATGATGCATTTATCATTTGCATAAAAAATCACACAAAAGCCCATATAACCATACAATGAACCAAGTATAATTTCAATTGATCAAGAAACATGCATCAGCCCATCAAAGCGATCCAAAACGGGTTTCGGATGTCTTTCGTCAGATCTAGATCATTTTTTGTCTTGCCATTACGAAAATGGAGATCCATACGGATTTGACACAAATTGGTTGATTATTTCATGTGCAATAATAACTCGTGACCAAATGTTTTTGGAACGGACTTGATTTTGGGCGGGAATAATGTAACATTTTGGAATAGCATTTTGGGTGACACGGCTGGAGAGTAATGAATGCTACTACTCTTTTAACAAGGCAAATAGAGAACGGCGCATGACCTTTGGAGGATGACATTTCTTATTCCAATGCAAACAACATTATCTAATGAATCTATTTAATGATCTGTTCGGCTCATTCACGAACTAATCTATTCACATCTCTATCTCCTGTTGCATTATGCACTACATATTGCTGCTATATTCATTGCTATCCATTATGGACGTCAGACTTGCCTGTCTACTCTCAGGAAGGACTGCCCTTTTTGGGTCTTCCTCCGATCATAGTCTGTTCTGCCGCCGGTTTAGGTCGGGGAAATCAGTGAGGAGGAGTTGAAGTAGGGGTGGGATTTTGGATCCGGGAACTGTAGAACCGATTGGAACCGAACCGTTAACAACATCTAGGAACCGAACCGTTAACAATTAATGCCTCATTTGTAGGAACCGAACCGAAGCGGGTTATAACGGTTCGGTTCCCGGTTCCTATAAAAAATATGTGCATGGAACCGTTGAGGAACCGTTATTAAAAAAAATAAAAAATAAAATAATATTAGTAGTAGTAGTAGTAATAGTAGTAGTAGTAACAATAATAATAATAATATAATAGCAATAATAACCACCACCACAACCACTATAATAAAACAATATAAGATATTTAACTAACAATTCTAATTTAATCAACGAAAGAGAAGTAATAAATATTGTACATGAGGTTGATATAATACATTAAACTCCTTTCTACAAATCAAGTTTTGTTCCATCACATAAATTTTATAAATATAAAATAACTCAAATAACTTGTAGTTGATTGCACATATTTTACTTTACTATTTTCATGATATTTCTAATTATTAGATTTATTATGAATCAATAGAATGTAATAATTTTTTTTTATATCTATACATGCAAACTTAATGTCTTTTTTTATGTTTTGAAAGACTTGAAGCAGACGTCATATTCTTGCTACTATGATGATGAGTAACCTTCATCGCTCCGACACTACAACGATTTTTAATGTTTCATTTATTACATGAAAATTTAAATCACTTTTGTTCTATTAAGTGTTCAAAGTTCATTAGTTAAGTTTGAGCTTTGATGTTTGAAGTGATTAGAGCTTCAAATAAAATTTTAATACTCGTGTTTTGAATTTTCGACGTGTTTATGTTGTTTGTAGAAAGTAAATTATGTGTTA